CCCCCTCCCTTAAAAAGACCTCAATTCAAATTTCAGGTCATTCAAAAGGATGAAGAAAGCTCCCGCTAAAATCATGTAAGATTTTTAATTTTGAGACTCATTGAATACGTACAATTGACTATTTCTAAAATGATAGCTTTTGTTTGTGTTCTATAGATGTCAAAAACAAAACATGGGTTGCCTGTGGCTTCTATTGCCGTACGAGAGACTGGACATAAATCAGTCAACATTCAAAATTATACGACTTGAGATTCATTTTAGTATCAATAGAATAATAAAAAGAAAAATTATAAAATCCATTTAAAAATTGAATTCAAATTCAAATTTGGTGTTTTTTTCCCCAATTTCATTATTAATTAAAAAATTGATTCGTGCGATAATAGCAATGCATGTGTGTTTATACCAAGTATAAAAGTTTAAATAGATAAGAAATCGAATTAAAATTCCATATTGCTCACATAATCACGTCAGGTGATCCCTTCCGCCATATTGGATTTTCGTAGTCACGTTACCCATGCTAAGACGGCTGGTCATATTAATCACAGTATCCGCCCTAACATAATAGAAAGAGGTCACGCGACCTTTCCAAATATGGAATGAAGTGACCACGTGCTTTATCATACAATTACGTGACACTCCCTCATAAGGAAGATTGAGTCACCATTTTCTTCGAAAAAGCATTAGATGCTCGCGTGGATCAAATGCGGCTGGACAATCACAAGGCAATCCCTCACAGGACAGAATGAGTTGCGCGCTTCTCAACAAAAGTGGAGTAGATGCTCACGTGGTCAACACGTGCTCACATCTAATATAAAAACTGACCACGTGATTTGTAATACCTTATAAGGCAGATTGAGTCGCGCGCTTCTCAACAAAAATGGAGTGGATGCTCACATGGTCATCRCGTGCTCACATCTAATATAAAAACTGACCACGTGATTTGTAATACCTTATAAGGCAGATTGAGTCGCGCGCTTCTCAACAAAAGTGGAGTAGATGCTCACGTGGTCAACACGTGCTCAAATCTAATATAAAAACTGACCACGTGATTCGTAATCCCTTACAAGACAGAATGAGTCGCGCGCTTCTTAACAAAAATGGAGTGGATGCTCAGTGTGGTTATCACGTGGTAACGTCTAATACAAAAAAGACTGACCACGTGATTGGTTGGTACGTATGTCGTATATAAGCTGAATCATTCTCATGTGTTAACTGGACCTAGGTTTCTCGTTAAAAGTTAAATTTCAGACTCTTTGCCGAGCAGTTCCGTAGAGTCCGTGGCGCCTGGTGACTGAGGAGGTGATTCACTGACAGGCGAACCCAGCTCGATGTTGTCGTTGTCATCTTCTTGTTTCTTGTCTTTCAGTTGAATCAAGGTCTCACCCATGGCCAGCTCTTCGGGTCCCTCGTTCGAGGGTTTGTAAAACCAGAATGACAGGAAGAAGAACGTGATGACCAACACTGACAACATGAAAAGGTGGAAAGAATTTAGGTGCGCATGCGTAAATTGTTGATCAACATTGTCTAATTCTGATTGGACAGTCTGTAATGGGTACTATTCCCTTAATATCAGCCGGGAATCAAGGAGGAATTTACCTCTCACCTTTAGGGTCTCGGGTTTGTTTCCTGAACTGAATTGTCATCAAATGCGAGTAGAATGACTGGGTATCTCGAACCTTAAACCCAACATAGCAGTGCTCTGATTTTGATCAATCAGGAGGTTGTTTCAAGGTTTGATCTGTGAGTTAGGCTTGCACTGACTTAGATCAGCCCAGAGGTTGTTTCAGGGTTCAATCTGTGAGTTAGCCATGCCCTGACTTAGATCAGCCCAGAGGTTGTTTCAGGGTTTAATCTGTGAGTTAGACAGGCCTGACGTAAGATCAGCCAAGAGGTTCAGGTTAAGGCGTTTTGAGAATTAGCCATGCCTGCCCGACGATTCAGATCAGCCCAGAGGTTGTTTCAGCTAGCGTTCTAAAGAATGTGGCTTCTTAAAATTGTCTTGAATGCGAGACATACATGGGAATACAAAAAGAAATGCCACAAATTCGGTGATTTCTTTTGTATTTTCATGTTAGCCTTGTATCCACGATACTTTTGAGAAGTGTCAATTGACGTTTGCTTTATTTCTCAAGATGTTCTCGCAAGAGGTACTTACATCCTGTCGCTACACCAATTCCAGCTAAATAGTACGAGAGAGTGTTGATGTCATACACAAAACAGCGGCCAACCTCGTCGCAGCTCTCCCCCCACAGCATACAATTCTTGTCGAATAAGAAGCCGTAGAAGATTGGGCTGGGAATCGAACCAAGGCCACGGAAAAACACGAACTGTAGACCCAACGCAAACGCACGCTGGTTGTAAGGCACGCACCTGGAGAGGACATAATGCAATGCTTTAGCTTTTGTGAGTTTAGACAGATAAGGTGCAAACTGGTCTAGCTTTGGTAAAATATTTGCTTTACCCCTTAAGTTATTTTGGGCTTCCTTTGTCAATAGCCACACGGGCACCCCTAATTGAGAAGTTTGTAAGCATGAAAGTCGATCATCAGGGCCCCGTCCACACGTATCCAGGTTTTTTTTTCTATCCGCAAATTATTTTTTGCGGATACGAAAATGTTTGCGTCCACACGCAGCGTATTCCAATCGTTTTCACCGTCCACACGTATCCGTTTTCGTAAAATTTGCGGATACGGACACAAAAATTTCCGGACACGTGTGGACGGGGCCTAGGACTAGCATTAGGTTTCAGCACGCTCTCCGCTGGCATCCGAGAAAGGAATGGGAAAGCTGATGACGGAGAGATCCTTCTTTGCCTCTCTCCCCGTTCCCTGTCTCTTCAAAGTTGCCACCGGAAACGTAACTAGGCTAGTTTTTTTGATCCCAAGTATTATCCCAAGTTCTACCTGATTTTAGACATACTGGGCTCACTGTGTGCAGGAATGGACCACAGGTATCCCAACTGAAATACTGACCTGAGGATAACAGTTTTCGATGGGATTGCCTTCAAGAACACAGTCAACAGTAGAATAAGTATAATGGCCAAGAACCAAATAAAATTCGAACAACCATCACCACGATCACAGTACCCTTTCTCCGCGACGCTAACTGTCTGGTTGATCAGCGGAGGAACACAACTGCAACTGCTGTAATTCTGTAATTGAAAATAATAACATTTTAGTTCAAACTGTTCAGCAATCTCTCCATTTAAATAGCTTTACATTCTCCCAGTCCAGGTTACGCAGTCCAGGTTACACCCCTTCCCCCCTGAGTATATTTCTGGCCAGTATCTTGCTTGAGGTAACCTTCCTGCCCACTCTCCATGAATATATTTCTGACCAGTTTAAGGTAGACCCCCACTCCCCTCCCCTGATCATATTTCCTTCCTACCCCCTCCCCCTGAGTATATCCCCAAACACCTACTCCAGGTCCTTTCACCAAACATCCCGCGTGACAAGGCGACATGTACGTGACTCCATCAGATCCACACACTGGGTTGAAGTACTCCTTGGTGCATGCGCAGTCCAGGTTACAAAGACTGCTGACCCCTGAATCGACGTTCAAACTCCTGGTAAGATATAAACCACAGGGAATCCAATTTAGAAAAAGCATTTTTGGCGGCGTCACTTCTCATGAAAAATAAATAACAAAGACATGGCTGTCACGGTGGTCGACATAAAATAAAAAAGAAACTAAGACCAAATTTTTTGTTTAAGTCATCCAACATGGCGGCATACCCGTTATGATATGGTTGAGTCACGCCAGCGAGATTCACCGGATCACAGCCAGGAACGAACCAGCTTAACGGTCCAAAAATCCCGACACACGAGAAAATCACACAGAATTTGGCCGCCATTTTGCAGGAATCTCGGACTTTGAACCGACGCACGACCAAACTACCGATCAATACACCACCTAAAACAAAAAAAACGATGTATGCACTGAAATGGTTTATAATAGATTCATACAACCTAAAGGCAAACAAGGCGAAAGACACATAGAAAAACAGACAAACAAACAAAAAAAAACAAAAACAGAAAGACAAAAAGACATGCAGACGGACGGACAGACAGACACTTTAAAGAAAATGACGCGCATGCGTACAACCAAGAAAAAAGGTGTAAGGCGAACATGCGACTGTCATGTTGGATTATCTAACAAGAGAAGCTAATGAGGAATGATTTGTTATCATCAACCAAGATGGTGGTTATGGCGTAACATGCACATGCTCGCTATTGATGCTTGCATCCACTCGTAGGCACCGTTTGATGTCATGAGCACTCTTTGATGCTATTTCTAGAATCATTAATCTATTTTAAGAATCATTGATCTATTTTTAGAATCATTGATCTATTTTTAGAATCATTGATCTATTTTTAGAATCATTGATCTATTTTTAGAATCATTGATCTATTTTTAGAATCATTTTATCGCTGTTTTTCTGCACACGCATACTGCGCGCGCTCTAAGCTGTTTGCTACTGGCCAGTCAGAGTTTCAAGAAAATATGAGCAAACAGCGTAGAGTGCGTGCAATATGCCCGTGCAGAAAAACAACGCTATAATAAATATTATAAAAACAGATTAATGATTCTAAAAATAGAACAGTGATTCTAAAAATAGCATGAAATAATGCTCATAATTACGCGCTGAAATTCCCTCTTTTAGCTCATTTTCTCTTGGTACAACACATCGATACTCACAGAACATCCCTGGGATAAGAATGATATGTGAATAATTCTAAAAACAGATGAATGATTCTAAAAATAGAACAGTGATTCTAAAAGTAGCATCAAAGGGTGCTCATAATGACGCGCTGAAATTCTTTCTCTTAGCTCATTTTCTCTTGGTACAACACATCGATACTCACAGAACATCCCTGGGATAAGAATGACTCCCAAGTAAACGCCAGTTTCAGTAAGATTAAGACCAAACTTATCCTGAAGGACTTTAGGTAAGAATGAGGATATTCCGGCCGAGAAAAACCCACAAGATGTGGCGAGAGTATTGAAGATGTAGGTTTTGTTGGTTACAAGTTCTTTGGCAGCAGGGATTATATCCTATAGACAAGATATATATAGATATAAATATATAATGCAAGGGCGTAGGCAGGGTGGTGGGCGAGGGGGCTATAAACTCCCTTTCGTTGCAACAAAATGGCGGCATTTGTAGAATATATACACTAATTTTGATTTCTTTTCTAAGTGGAAAATTAAAAGAGATGCCGGTTGTTTTTTTGTTTTTTTTCGTCCTGAGTTCCGGGGGCCCAAAATAAAGCGGATTTATGAATTTGCCCCCCCCCCCTCTCCTCGGAAAATCCTGACTACGCCCCTGTAATGTTCTCCGATTAAGCCATCTGTCATTCGCTAGAGTAATGTTATGAGATTACGCCACATGTCATTCCCTTGAGTATCAATTCTTTGTTTAACGGTTGCGCACGAGAGAAGACACAAGAATATGGATACCACAAGAACAAAGAATGTCTAAAATGATAAAATTAAAAAAAAAAATTCTTCACAATACCTTGAGGTTTCCTTTCAGTTGTTCGTTATCCTTCGGAATATCGCCCGCTTTCATGGCTTTTTCTCTCATCTCACGGGAACCTGGTAACTCCCTCGGGAAAGCCAGTAAACCAATTCCGCTAAAAACGAGAAAGACCGCACCAAAGACGTACCCCACCCACCACGCCCCTATCCAACGTGGGTCATCGGTGTTCAGATCCATTCCCTCTGGCTGTTGAAAAACAGAACCCCTTTTAATGACAGGTTTGTGATCACGTGATACTAGTGTGCTGTAGACGAGGCAACAGGCTTATATTTTGATACTCAGTGAACTCACACACTTGTTTTAAGGAACAAGTSTGGCTTGGTTGGTTAGTGTGGTGCTTTAACTAAGCACGAGGACCATGCTTTGTTCCTCAGCCGACCTGACCTGCTAAGCAAAAGGTCCATTTTTTTAAAGGAGCGAGTGTGGCTAAATTGGCTATTTGGTTAGTGTGCTGCTTGCTAACCAAATTGATTATAGTTTGATCCTCAATTACCTCACACATTTGTTTTAAGGAGCAAGTGTGTCTTGGTTGGCTAGTGTGCTGCCTGCTAAGCAAGAGGTCCATAGTTTGATCCTCAGTGACCTCACACACTTGTTTCAAGAATCAAGTGTGGCTTGGTTGTGCTGTTAGTGTGCTGTCTGCTAAGCAAGCTGTCTATATTTTGATTGTGACAGAGGTAACCCAGTCAAACATCACACAAACCTGCTTTAGATCAACGAACACGCCAAGCACCAGTCCCCCTAATACAAATCCGAGGCCGGGCCCCATAATAGACGATGCAAACCAGACCCCAAGATATAAAGGCATGTTTTTAGGCTTCACGTTCTCATCGATATACGCGGGCCCAAGAGAGTACAGCGGTGTGGTTCCTGCGCCCATGAACAGTTGACCACATACGAAGATGAGTATGTAATACCAATCAGAGTCGTAGCTGGACACACACAACACGTTGTCCATCGCCGTCTTATTCTTCACACTACAAAGATCTTGTCTTGTAAAGGTGATATTTTCATCTTTGTTACTTGAAGGGTAGTATGCACCGATGAGAGCATGGGGAAGAGCGAAAATTAAACAGCCAATAGCTGTTGGGGAGAGAAAGAGATGTTAGAAGGCGAAGAAAAATGAATAACAGTTCGGACTAATCTTACTCTCAGCTAAATTGTTAGTCTGGTTTTCGAACATTTTGCAACATGCAACATGCAACATGCAACATGCAACATGCAACATGCAACATGCAACACGCAACATGTAACAAAACCTTCACCAACATTTTTTGCTGAAATGCCTGTATATAGTAACACCGCTTGCATTTAAACCACATGCTAAACTGATTTTTCTCACTAGATAAAAACCCTCTTATTAGTACTAGATTTACCCGTGATGAACGATCCGTAGCCCAGCCATCGGATCTTGTTGCCAAAACCACCGTAGAAGCTCACAAAACAGACAATAATCAACGCCGAGACGTCGTTCCCAGCAGAAATGATTCCCAACTCAGTTCCTGTGAATTGAAACCGCTTTTCGATGGAAGGTAGAATCAGCTTGGTTATACCGTTTACAGCTATACCTGATATGGTTAGAAAAATGTATAAAAGTTATGATTAATATTGATGTTCGGCTGCTTCTTAGTCACGCAAAGTCTTATCTACCGTCACGCGTGATACCTTGAAAACTGCTTCGTTTGTTAAAATCATCAATCAAGGGTGCCGTAGCTGGCGTATATTAGGGGGCTTTCATTTATTAGCACATGGTGGTGTTGGTGTGTGTGTGTGTGTGTTGGGGGGGGGGGGGGTGATTAGGCGAAATTGTAGGGGGGGTGATATGTTATTTTGGGGAAGTGGTACTGCACGGCCACGGTACAATCATCCGTAAAAACCAATCACAGCGCGCGAGATTATTGCTTATCCAATCAAAATCCTTTTATAGACAAACGTCGTGGCCACCAAGGAAATTCCATACCGTGCATTTTTCTCAGTCACGTAAAGTCTTATCTACCGTCACGCGTGACTTACCTTGCATTACGGAGAATATGACAAGAAATACCATGAAGCATTTTGGGCCATTGAAACACTGGAGACAATCGGGTTTGAACTTTCCCCATCCAAAACGAAGGTCGTCTTCCTTCAACTTCGAATTCATTTTTTCTTTTTTCTCTTTCATGCTGAAATGGGATAAATGAGTTATCTAGCTGTTGTCGTTGTTGCTACATTTGCATTTAATGCTATCAAAATTGTTATATAGCTATTTCAAAAAAGGTTGAATACTGAATACAGCATACTGAATAGTGCATTCCAAGACCGAAGTGTCGGTCTTGGTAATTTGAAATAAAAAGTAAATATACAGCAAATTAACTCTCTACATGTAGTTAGTTTATTGTTTCAGATGGAATACACTAGAAATAAAATAAATAATAATAATTAATCCTACTTTAGACAATGTCACTATGACCCACAATGCAGTTCGGTCTTGGAATGCACTATTCAGTATGCAGTACATGTATAGTATTAAGTAGTATTCAACTTTTTTTGAAATAGCTGTATAAAAAGTTTGAATTTAGTCGTTGAGAACTTTTGATAGTAAAGTAATGTTGTTCCTTTCTTGTGTAGTAAATACCGAGAAAATGGCGCGAAAACGCGTCTCGCAAACTACAGACGAAAAAATCGTCTTAATACAGGAAAAGATTAAAAGAAAAAGGCGAAACTCAATATTAAATAACCTAATTTTTCCACATGACTGGAGAGTCCTTGAATTTTCAAGTGTACAGTATACAATTACAACTTGATGAAAAAAAGGGGTCAAAGAGTGATAAACTTGGACACGTTTGCCCCACAGCAAAAGCGTATCTCATAACATGAAAAAGAGTATCGATAGTCTGTTGACATAAGCCCTTCAAAAACGATTTACACCGACATAACGGCTCGTACCTACATGAAGTTAATTTGAGGTCTACGACAAATTCTGCTTCTTTCTGTTTTTGCTTCGTTACACGTTTTCGTTCATAAATAATAAAAGATGATGATGAGACGGATGATGACTAGGTTATTATTTTTCTGACGTATTCGTTATTTCGACGAGCGTTCATTCAGTCCGTTATTTGTTCCCTTCTGATTCGTTCGTTCGTTCGTTCGTTCGTTCGTTCGTTCGTTCGTCCGTTCGTTCGTCCGTCCGTCCGTCCGTCCGTCCGTTCGTTCGTCCGTCCGTCCGTCCGTCCGTCCGTCCGTCCGTCCGTCCGTCCGTCCGTCCGTCCGTCCGTCCGTTTATCGTTCATCCATCCGTAAAACTGAGATAAAGGTAAAGGTGATTCATATTACTGCAATAACGCGAGACAGACGTGGCCGAATCCCGGAATTACTAACCAATTGAGCATGAGCTACTCCTGCTCCATCCGTCTGTCAATTCAATCAGTTCGTTTTTTCCTGCATCACCATCACTTTTTTCACACGAGCTCTCTCCTTAAGCTCCCTCCCGTCCCATAAACATCGATACTTTACAAAAGTAATCCCCTAACGGACCAGTAAGTCCTTCGATGTTATGATAACCTTAATAACCCCTCCAAAGCTATCAGACAATGGTAGCAAGTCCAGACTTGTATAATAGAGTCATCCGATTATAACATTCTCAGTCTCGGCCTTCAAGCATAACCGACTAGTCTTTGTCCTCAAAATTTATTCAAAAACAAACTTAAATTGAAATTAAGACTTGCATGAACGATTCTAATATTGAAACGAAAGCTTTCGTATAAACATTGAAAAGTTAAAAATTTCAATAAACATGGGTGGATGGAAGAGTTTTCGAGAATGTTAATTTTCAAATTTAATTCGCAGGATAATAAAGTCTAACTCTAGAATAAAAATCCTATAGGAATATAATAGAAAATATATGTGTATAGAATGCATAATTGAGATATCTTAATAAGTTTTAAAAGATAAAGTTATCCAAGTATCCGAACCCAAGAATCAACATTATAAAAAGGCTCGTTTGAGATATTTTAACTGAACGTACAATTCTTTATAATCAGCAGCAGACTTAAACAAAAAAGAATGTTCAATTCGTTTCTACCCCTGTAAATGCATAATCATGAAAATTAGAGCGACTATGCGTGCAGGACTAGCCAACTTGTAAATATTTAAGAGGTGCTAAGCCCTTGTGCATTTAACAAATTTAATCTACAATCATTTGATCCCTATTTTTGACTTTATAAGTTATATTTGCAGTGATTTTACTGAGAATTAATTCTACAAAGTTCGTGGGATAACTTTAGCACCTAATGAAGTTAATAACCAATTTGCACTAATGGCATATTAAACTTAAGTGTTTAAAACTTTGACTCCTCGTCACAAAAGCGTTCTTACGTAATAATACATATATGATATCTGCACTGAACTCTCTAGAGATAAAATACTCTTTCCTCTAGGGGTTCATAAAATACTTGGAAAAAAAAGACTCAACTAGCTTAATTTAAGATCCCAAAGTTAAAAACTGTTCATGGAAGTTTTTTTAGGTCGAGCCACGATTCCGAATTTTACACTTGCAAAAAAAATTATTTACATTTTATATTTTTACCTTATGTACGATATTTCATCCACAATCCTTAAGTTGAACGATATTATTCATAGGTGATTTGATGTCAAACTGTTTTTAGAAAAATTTTGCTCAATTTGAAATAAACTCAAGCAGTTTTGCAGCAGTTTACGGTTCTCGTATGCTGATTGTACAATAAACTTTACAGTTTAACATTTAAATTAATTACATATTTCACACGCAGTGCCAATGACAGAATTAATTCAATTTGCTGTCATTATGGCTTTATAACACTTTTACTGCTGCCCGGGAAGGGTGCTAGAGTTTATCATTCTTGGCAGTATTTAGCTGAGTTCTAGTTTTGGGATAAGAACTAATTTGCTGCTTTTAAATGCGTTTAAAGCAAGGAAGGTCAAGGCAAAAGGCATCTCTCAAGAGATTTAAAGCTACAAAAAAAGCATAAAACGTTTTCTTGAAAATTAAATATTGCTGACTTATAGATTGAGACATTTTTCTTGAAACTTAGATATTCCTGACTTATAGATTGGGGCATTTACCTGGATTGAGTTCTGCAGGCTTGGAACTTTGAAGAGCTTTGTTGTACTTCTAGGCTAACAAGCTTTTCTGAAACGCAGATCTTAACTCAAGCGGAGAGGAATTTTAGAAAACAATAGTGGTGTTAAATATTTGTCTGGATCAAGGACTCTGGAATTTACGGATCATCGAAGAAAGGCAAGGTAATCGAAAGAGGTCCAAAGGTATCGACTTTCTATCAATTCAAATGAAAATTTCAAGGAAAAAAATCAAAAAATAAGAGAAAAAAATTGCAGCAAAATATGCTCGTTTGCTGGTGTACTCCGGTGAAGATTAAAAAATATCAAGAAATTTGACAGTCTGAAAGGGGGATCGGATCCCGAATCCCGCGCTGTTCTTTTCCCGAAATCCCGCATCCCGCGACATTTTGCCATCGACGATCATATCCAACATGCTCAAAGGCATTTGAATTTTTATTGTATCTATTTATGTTTTCACGTTTTTTCCCGAAAATCAGAAAGAAAAAACCCACATCCGGGACATCCCGAGTCGAGGCCGATGCAATTGTTATATTCAATATTGTGCCGGCGCATCAGTTACAGTGCAATAGCCCACTTCCGAGATATGCTTCGGTTGTCACGCACAAAGGTTTCAGTATGAGGCTACGTGCTAAATTAAATTCATTTTTACCGCCTGTCACGAATGACTGAGCATTTAGCAGGTAGCCTCATACTGAAACCTTTGTGCGTGACAAGAGAAGCGTATCTCGGGAGTGAGCTATTGTGTTGTTACATTCAACATTGTGCCGGCGCATCAGTTAAAGAGGTGGACACACGGCGCAATTGCGGTTTTTTTTTTCTTTTTGCGTTGTTAAATTCAACATTGTGCGCATCAGTTACAGAGGTGGACTCAAGGTGAATTTAGTGATTCAGTCTTTGCAAAAAAAATACTAAATGAAACATTTGACTCTATTCATTATATTTTCATCTTCGTCTGCACACTCTGATTGATCTCAAACTGTGCTGTATTAAGAAACAGAACATGGTGCTGACACCATTTACTGATGTGCAGCAAAAAAAAAAAAAAAAACTGTTAAAAAAACGATATTGACAATGGTAATTCCATGTTTTCTTTTTACATAATGAAACAACAAAACAGCATTTTTCATGCTCTGTTAAGTAGTGCAGCATGTAGGAAGCACCAAAAGCACTGAAAAAGTGCAAGAAGCACTCRTCACCTATCCTATTCTTCATGCTTCTCTTCACACTTCTTTTGTGCATTCGTCACTTCCTGTGTGGGTTTTACTCAGACAGAATGGAGCATAGAGAAAGCTGTTTCATTTCTTAATTGAATATTATTTTAATAGTGATTGGCATATCAGTGAGAGCGCTCGCCTCTCACCAATGCCACCTGGGTTCGCGAGTCCTGCAGGTTTTTTTGTCGTTTGGGAGTAGAGTTGATTGTTGGTTCTCTCTTGTGCTTCAAAGGTTTTTCCTCCCTCCACAAAAATCAACTTCTAATTTGCAGTTGGAATCCAGAGGAAGAAGAGCCACTGTGGAGTCCACTGTTAAATCTCATTTTTACTTTTTATTTTCCCATTATTTCCCCCATTATCTCTTGAAATTATACTCCACTAAAAAACGTATCATTTAATTCTCAAACATTTTGTGTTTATTTTATGGCATAATTTTAGAAGGTGCATGTTATCACAGGAAACTTTTTCAATTTCCCAAATGGGAACTTTGGGAAATTATTGGGAAATCACAACCCAAATCTTGGGGATTTCAGAAAGGAATACAATTTTTTCCCAACCTTAGATTTTGTTGCATTTTCCCAATCATGGGAATTTATGTGAATTTCCCATAAAAGTCCCAGAAATTACCCAAACATTTGCCAGAATGGGAATCATGAAAAAATTTCCTGTGTTATTAAAGTTGATATTGTGACAAAAATGTGAAATAAACTGTGTATATTAAGAATTCAACATTCTTGGAAATTTACTGAATCTTACAAAGTATAAATTGCTTGATTGATAATGTTATCTTAATAGTTTTTATGGCCTTGTATTAATTCAGTCGCATGATTCTTCTATCGTTGTTCATGCATTCTGCAACTACATGGACTGTTATTGAATGAAATTTTGCTCAAATCTGTAAAAATCCTGCTATGTCCTCATCTTCAACTGCATTATCGAAAGCGTTAAAATCCTTTAAAAATATAAAAAAGAGAAATACTTTAAATTCTAACTTTTAGATACATTTTGATGCATATTAAATGCCTATCACCCTTCTGACAATATTCTCAGAATTGCTTCTACATGGGGTAAGATGCGAATGATCTGAAAAAACTGCATGGTTTGAGTGCGGCTTCTTGAAGTTATAAAGGTTTTTCTGTGCCATATGCTAATGTCGTAACCTATGACTATGTCGGATCCAGGGGAGGGGTGCAGGGGGTGGGCACTGCACCCCTCCCCGGTTCGACTTTGTGCCCCTACTTCGAAGATAATGAATATGAAATAATGTTTTTTCCCTGTGATTCTAAAGGGGGCAACCCTCCCTGGGTTAACTTTGTGCAGAGCTCCCCTCCCTGGATCCGCCCCTGTATGAGATGAGTCATTCATGGGTTATTTGTTGTTCCTCTTAATTCAAAACCATGACTACTATGTGGAAACTAACTTTAAATAATTTCTTTATGAGCAATGGGGAAAACAATGACGTATTTCAAATTCAATTTATCTGTGCAAGTAATGTTTTGTATATTAAATGATTACTCCTCATATGTCACAACATTAGCATATGGCATAGAAAAACCTTTATAAATTCAAGAAGCTGCAATCAAACTATAAAAAATTTTCTGTTCCTTCATCATCTTATCACATGTAGAATCATATACTGTGAATATTGTCAGACGGGTGATACACTTTAAGTAAAGTATGGAACACTCTAGTTTTTGAATTCTCTGCTGCTGAGGGTGAGCCTCAATTTTGTATAGAATATTCAGTAATGATGAAAAGGTAAATTATACACCGTGAAAAGATGAAAAAACTTACTGTCGTTCATTAATCCCGTTGGGACTAATTAGGCTTATTCACCTATTGGGCACTCTTAGTCCCAACGGGATTAATGAACGCTTTATTTTCAACTAACCTTTTCTTTTGTCTTTT